TACGCAAATATTTCAAATTAACAGAAAATACCTACGAAATAAGGTTAATGCATATACTTGTGATGGAAAATGTTTTACGTTTAGAATTAAATATCTTCAAAACAGTACGGTAAAAATCAATGAAATTTTTTTCTGGATATTGTGAATATAATTAACTTTCATATTATGAATGTATTATGGACTTGGCTTATATTTCGTCAAACGCTGCGGAACCTCCTTAAAATAGAAAAAAAGCTCCTTGGCACAGAGATTTTTTTGGTTTTCACAAGCCCATCGTATTTCATAATATACGCATTTTGTAATAGGGAAACGTCGCAAGAGGTTTCCTCCATTTTTCGAAATCGACCGCGACGTGTCATCAATATTACACGATCGGTCAGTTGAAATATCATACGCGCGTCTCTCGTCATCCGCGCCTGAGAGAGAGAAAATAATATTTCACACACGTTCCTCGAGACGAGAAATGCTAATGGACTCTCGGCTCGAGAGTACCGTGTGCGTGCATGGCCGTTTGACCTTTTGAAAGAAAGGAAGGTCGTCATATCGAGAGTCTCTCCCAAGCAAATCCCAGCGCGCCCGGCTGCATCGGGCAACATGACGGAGAGTGATGCTGCGCGCCTCATCGCGCGCGTTTCTCCTCCGCGCGCGCGCGCGCACGCAACTTGCGTGCGCTCCAAACGCGAAATGCAAAACATCTTTAATTGCGTTCCGCGTAGGGTCCTTCGTCTTTCATCCAGTCGGCGAGCAGCGGCGGGAAAAAAATAAAATACCCGCTGATCGTAAGGTAAACGTAACCAGTGATGACTGAACATGTATATATATCGGAACATCAACTATACGCAAAAACTATTTTTAAATGCGTTTTTCATAATATTATAATTTAACGGTAATTTTTAAATATTTTTACAATTAAATTTTGATATTGTATAATAAAAAATGCATTTGAGATTAATTATTAATCTCAAACATTAATAAATTTTAACAATGTAAAAATCAAACTCGTCCTTGTAATGACAATAAAAAATTTTCACTCTGCTGGGACATTTTATAATATTGGACAAGGAGACCGCAATCGGAATTATTGAACACCACTATGATGGTACCGACTCCTCAAGTACTTTTTGACTGTTTTGACTATAATTTTATATGCTTTATTAATTTATTGGTTTTAACTTTAACCACGTGAGATGCCAGCTCCTTTTTATATTATTATATTTATTAATTTTTATTGCGATACCGAATATGTGACTTGCTATGTAATATATAATTCTGGCTTCCTTTGTATTTATATTATTATATTTATTAATTTTTATTGCGATATCGAACATGTGACTTGCGTTTCCTTTTATTAATCGTTTTGCGGCCGAAGAAGACTAAGTTAAGTCGCAATATGTAAATGCTTCTTAAATTTTATATTACAAGATCAATAAACGCTGCCTGGTTATAAAGTGCTCGATAGTGTGGCCTAATTTCATTACATTTTTTTTATTGTTAATAATTTTTGTGCACGTGTTCAGATGTAGATACATGTTCAGTCACTGGTATGTACATTTACCTTTCAATATCCACGTCAAAAATAAAGGAGAAATGAAACGGTAGAGTTTATGAACTTTGATTTATGAAAACGACTTGATCCCTAATTGTTTAGAAGTTGTTGCAAAAAATTTTCTCTCGACTGGAAAGTATCCCGGCTTACGGAAGCGCGCTGCCGCTCGTGCATTCAGGTTTGCGACGGTGACATCGAGTGGATATATAAATTGACGGGGGAATGATCGACAGAATAATTTACCTCGATCGAACATTGGCACCGTTCGATAACAAGTAGAAATCGCACAGCGAGCGGTCCCGTGAATCGAATGATTAGAGGATACGATTCCTTTTCGAATTGTCCATTTAAAGCCGGTGAGAGTATAGGTATCTATTTATAAAGCTTAGAGAATATTAGTCAGCCTCCGCCCGCGATAACATCGTTATTTCCCGAACAACAATGAAACACACGCCTGTTACGCGCTCGCCATTGTTCCCCCAACGTGATAACTGCACGAAAGGCTACACTTTTTCGCGCGGGAGGGGGATCGAAACTTTAATTATACCGTCTCATTTACATGGTCTCTCGGTCAGGGATTCCGCGCGAAATGCAATATCGCGCGCTTGTTATACAAGATTCCGACCGGGACAGAAGAGAGATGATGGTTTTACTTCGATCGAACCACTGACACGAATCGCGTTCGCGGAAATCAACGACGGGCGCGATCCAACGGACGATGTACGACACGCCGTGAAAATAAAAGCCCCCGCCGGGAGCAATCTGGTTACAAGCTCCTTACGCGCTCGCGTAATACATCCCCGATTGTCGATCAGTGCAGAAAATTATTTCGATGCAATTTCTCAGTCGAGCGAGCAAGCGCGTCGAATTACTTCCCCGCGACTAATCAGATTTGAGAAAATCTTGTGAATCAAATAAATGTAAATTGCACTGCGCGCCGTGTAAAACGAAGATACTATATGATAATCATCGGGGCTGCCGTCAAAAGAAAATTGATATCGGCGATCGGATTTGACAGAAATTGAACCGTGTAGAATATTGAGGTGATTGAACTAAACGCGTAAGGGCACTAATTCTTTTACTCTAAAAATAAAAATTTGTATTTTAATACAGAAATAATCAAATAATTAATAACATATTTAATAGTTTCAATTAATAGCAAAGAATATTTTATGTATGATTTTATTCAATTTCAGTTATACTATTTTTATACTTTTAATTTTAATTGAATGTAAAATTGCATTGAAATAGTGAAAATTATCCATAATCTCTGAGTCTATGTTACGGATTAGAGTAACTCGCGAAATATATTAATAAATTATTTAATTTTAAATAAGCATGATATTGATTTTTTTCTGTGAAATCTAACGCCATTTAAGAAAATTGATATCGGTGATCGGATATGACAGAAATTGAATATTGAGATGATTGAATAAACGCGTAAGGGCACCAATTTTTTTACTTTAAGGATAATAATTCATATTTTTATCCAGAAAGATGACAAATAATTAATAACATATTTAATAGTTTCAATTAATAACAAAGAATATTTTATATATTTTATTCAACTTTAGTATTTTTATACTTTTAATTTTAATTGAATGAAAGTAATGAAAATTATCTACAATTAAACCTTTGAGTTCAGTTGCGAATTAGAATAACTCGCGAAATATATTTAATTTTAACTGAGCATAATGTTAATTTTTTTAATGAAATCTAATGCTGTTTACTATATCTCTTATAAAAGCATAAGGCATATTTTTACATTAAACTTTAAATGAATTTTTAAAGATACATCTAAATTGATGACATTTTTTTACTTAATCTTATCTAAATTGATGACGTTTTATTACTTAATGATATCAATAAAATGTGTAGCGTTATCGCTAATAATAAAAAAAACACAATTTATAAGGCTAATATAAATATTAAAGAATCTTGTGATATGCGCGTTTGATAAAAAAAATACAATAACTAAGTCGTAAGGCAATTCTTATTAAACTTTAAATGAATTTTTAAAGACAGACTTAAACTGTTGACGTTTCACGTTTTATTACTTAATGATATTAATAAAATGTGTAGTGTCGCACTAATAAACAAAAAAACAATTGATGAGGATAATACAAATACTAAAGAATCTTGTAACATGCGCATTCAATAAAAAAAATACAATAACTATTTAAATATAATAAATTATCCGAAACTAGTGGCCGATCCACATCACAAGTCCTCTCTTACCTTACAGGTAAATCAATAAAACAATCTGTCTCGTTGAACTGCCGTCTCATCTCGAGCAGAACAATAGGTCGCGATAACAGGTCAAAGTGACGTTACAAAGAGTCAATGTGACTGATCGGAAAGTGACTTTTAATAAAATCACTTCGGATTGCCATCGTTTGATGTCATCGTGACTTTTTGTTCTGCCCGGGATGAGTTTCATTATTTTCACGACGATTCCGCTCGACTTGCTATCAACCCCTTAAGGCACACCGTTTGCACTAAAAACAATCGAGGCCGTTGTGTCCGTGCGCTGTCAGTGCCGTCGGGTCACCGATTAACCGCCTTTCCTGTCGTCTTCTGTATACGCTCGCCCGGCAGAAGATGGTTAAAGTATCCGGTTGCACACGGAAGCGCTCGCCACGGCCTTTGAAAATAAGTAGGAGTCGGTAAAATAATTGATACAACTTATTTAAAATAACAAATATAAAATAGATTCCAGAAACTTATTTAAAATAAAATATCGCAAGAGCCTTTAAAAAATTGATACGACTTATTTAAAATGAAAAATATAAAATAGATTCCAAAGACATGTTTAAAATATTAAATAAAAAATAGATCAAAAGAAATTATTTAGAATAATAAATACTAAATAATTCTTTTACTTTTTTTAATTTAAAAAATACATATTTTAAATAATGTTTTTTTAAATACGACCGATCCCTGATAAGCAGAAGTCGGTAAAATAACTGATATAACCTATTTAAAATAACAAATATAAAATAGATTCCAGAAACACGATTTATTTAAAATGAAAAATATAAAATAGATTCCAAAAACATATTTAAAATATTAAATATAAAATAGATCAAAAGAAGCTATTTAAAATAATAAATACTAAATAACTCTTTCACTTTTGTTATTTAAAATACGACTGACCCCTGAAAATAAGTCTTCCTGCAAGATCACCGGCATTTTCTATACTTTCCACGCAAAAATTTCACGACTTGTACGATAAATTGCGTACATAAAGCGTATATAAAAATTAATAAGCGTATCGCAAAGGCCTTATAAATTTCTAGAGATTCTAATCAATTATAATCGATGTAACAACATGGTGTGTTCCAATCCCCTTAGCGATATTGCGTGCTCGCGACGCGTTATTACAACTTTGCGCTCCAGACAATCTCCGCGTCTAAGGCAGACAGTTTAATGTTCGGTGTTCTCTTCTGCGCAGGATGGGAGCTGCGGGGCATACACTGTTATAAGTTCTTCAACATCAGGCATTCCTGGGAAAAGGCGGCGGAATTATGCAGGAGGTAAGACACCATCGATCTCTTTCCCTTTCGTTTACTTTTACACTTAAGGCCTGATTTTCATGTTTCGATCTTTAATCTTAAAAAAAAACCTAAAATTCAACCAATGAGAATACAAATTTTGGCTGGGACAGCAGCTCTATTATTGGTTGACATCTAAGGATTTTAAGATTAAGATCAAAGGTCTTATAAACCCCAGGCCTTAAGACTTGAATACGATCAGTATTTTTTTTTCGACAGAAAAAGGGTGCAGTCCATCTTAAGGAATGCTTCGAAGCAATCATAGAATTCCTCAAATAGCCAATAGTCTTATCTACAAAACAAAAGATAAAAAAATACAATAAATAACGCGTTTATCTATAGGATTGAAATCCCAAGGCGCTGAAACGCCTGGGACGATATAGCTTTGAAAAAAAGAAGAAATTCAGTAATTTAGACAAGCGTGTTTGGGACGTTATGATAAATCGTTGAAACGATAGATAGTTGAGCGACTGTCGTTAACAAAAAAAATAATACGTTCTATTTAACTATAATATAGAGAAAAAGGTTTTTTTAGATTTAGAATTCCTATATTTATTTGACTGATATTTGTTTCATTGGAACAACATTTGTTTATACGAAACAT